GGCAGCAGACGGTCGGTCAGCCCCTCGAAGGGCTGTAATCAAGGAGAGACAAGATCAAAAACCATTTGTACCAGCCCCTGTTTGGTTGTTGTTTGGTTTTTGATCTTGCTCTTCTTTGTTTTCACCCCTTCGACCGACCGTCTGCCGCTCTCCTAGCACTGCCTCGTGGCACGCCGGCCGGCCGGCCGACGGACTATGAAAGCGCCATATCCACTCGAGGAAGCTTTTCCTCTTAAGCACAAGTGAGGAGACCAGCGCGTCGTAGTCTTCGGTAGTTTCATCCGAGACCTGCCACTCATATCGGGACAAGGCGTCATTCAGAACATCTTCGTGGTACACAACATGGTTCGAGTTCTTTGTGCGATGTTGAGAGTTCTTTTTCAGCCTGCGACTGGATCTGATCTTAGCGCAAAGGAGCCGATGATCAGAACAGCTGCAGAAAGATGGTACCACACCAACATCTGGTGAGCGCCACTTTCTGTTGGTTAATATTTGGTCCAGATCGGCATGGATTGTACCATTTGAAGACCATGTCCAGCGGCGATGTTTCCTCATCTGGAAGGAGTTTCCGTGGACGAGTCGAGCTGCGGACAGGAGTCCAGCTAGATGGTTTCCGTTCTCGTTTCTCTCCCCCATTTCGAAAGTTCCAGTCCTAAACTCTCCTCTTGTGCTCCGCGTTGAAATCTCCAGCAGCAAATTTTTAGAAAGACTTCGTTGTGGACGATTTCCTCGAGTTGGTCGTAAAACGCATCAAGCACTACTTCGTCAGCTGTGGAGTGTGGAGAATAGCAGCTGAAGACAGGAGTGGTCTTCAGGTGTGTAGTCGTAGGCGCAGGAGAAGACAGGACCTCGCAGGACAGGCCGAGATGGACGACAGATGGGTGCGCGACGAAGCCAACGCCGCCGACGTTTCGCGATGGAAGCTTTTCACCACGAATGATGAGGGTTCCATCATTCTTCCGTCGTACGTTGGTCCTTCTGCTCTTGGTTTCTTGCAGCGCAATCACATGATACTTTATATGGCCAGCCACATGAGGAGCTCATGGGGAGCGGCATTGGAAGAGAATGTGTTCGCGTTGCAGGTATGAGGTATTAAGCGGTCTCCGTGTCATGTGGAGGGGTGCTGTCTTGGTCCGAAACCCAAGGCGTCCTGCGCAACCCGAGATTTCTTTGCCTCTCACCGGTCGCCATACCGTCCGACGCCGGAGAGAGCTTGGCGCAGTGTGCGGGGTACTGAGGCTGTTTTATTGCTATTTAGCAAGCTTGCTCCCTTTGGAGTCCACCACTGGCTTGCCAAGGCC